TTGGCGATTAAAGGCCATTGAGATCTAATTTTCTCTCTGAAATTCTGGCAGTGTGACTTCTTCATGATGAGCATCAAACCAAGAACCAATATCTTGTTATGTGTTTTGTTTTTGAATTTGAAATCAGTTTTTTAGAATAGGAGGTTTTGGAGTGTTTAGCCACTCTTGTCATTTTTGTTTATTTGGTGTATTATGTTTATCTTGGTATTAGCTTTGGAGTATATGTAGGCCCACACGGAATCTGCAGGCAGAATTCTGGAGATTTTTAGCCCATAATTGATTCTGTCTTTTTACTTTTGTAAATGTGTGTAAAATTATATTTAGTCAGTTTTTAAATTAATATTAGTAATATTATTGTCTAATATGAAAATATTTATATGATTTATTTACAATAAAGTTTGTAAAGTATTATTTTCTGTCTTTTAGTGGATATATTATATAAGAGACTTATTTGTTTACTAAATAAATGGATGTAATTGGGTTTGCATTGTAAACATTAAATACAAGTTAAAAAGGTATTATTTTTATTTCATCTATTAAGGTTTTAGTTATGATACTCCAAAAATCATTCCGCATAAATCCGCAGGTTTTAACACAATTCTGCGCAGAAATAGCAAAAATGTCCGCAGATTTCGTCTGGCCCTATGTATTTATTTACATGACAAAGATTCCAGTGTATAGGCTATTATTCTTTATTTTGTCATTTTTGTTTTGTTAATTTCTTTGACTTGAGCTTGCTACTTAGCACTACTTTTGCACTATATATATTTTTAGAAACAAGCAAATCAAACACAGATGATTAAAGCAATGTAATAAAGTTATCAGATTGAATTGTTTTTTTTAAGAAGTAATGCAAGATTGTAATATATTACTAATAAAAGTAACTTTTTTCAACACCTGACACAAGAAATTTAATGTAGTATTTTAATAAATAAAATGTATTTTTAAATAAATTTAAATACATTTGAAATGTATTATTTAATGTAATAAATTATTATTATTTTTATGGTATTCCTTAAAGATTTTTTTTAAATTATCTTTAACACATTGAATTTAAAACTTTACACATATAATTTTTAATTATTATTTTACATTTTAAAGACAAGCGAATTATGAACGTTTATACATCAAAACAATAAACATATATCCACTTTTATATAAGGTTGTTTTACGTGCAGAAATTGTGCCACATGTCAGAATGTAGTAACATGTAAGAATATAGTAAAATGCAAGGAATTTTTAAATACAGCAACAGGTAAAAATACTAAAATAAATGTGGTCTATATGTTGAAATATCTGTGCCAAAAGATATATATAGGGAAGTCATCATGTCAGTTGAAGTTGCAAATTAGTGAACATAAATCAAGTATACGATGACAAGATAGAACTTCGGCAGTAGTAAGACATTTAATAGATTTTGGACATGACGCTAAACAACTAGAATGTATAGGAGTTGAAGAAGTATTTGAGTCACATAGAGGAGGAAATCTAAATAAAAGATAATTAGAAAGAGATTTTAGATTCATAAATTAAAATCACTTACACTAAGAGGAATGAATGAGGAGTTGGACCTTTCTATGTTTCTTTAATGGTTTGTTGTTTAGCTATAATATTGTGAATCATACATTTTGAGTATGTAATGATATAAATAATGAGATGAAAATGTAATTTTAATGTTTTGGACTGTCAGAATTTCATCGCATTGATGTAGACATGAATAAGTGAATGATGATTATTGATATGTTATTTCCCTGTGCAATAGAGATAATGCTTTAAAGGTGAAGGTAAATATTCCTCGTGCTTAATTACATTATATTAAAATTAAAATGAGATTAAGTGGCCTTCTAACCAATAATGTAATGTGGTTGACTGTGGAACAAAAGGGGGAAGTGAGGAATGAGGAAGACATTGTGCCAAAACGTCTGTTTTGTATCACCTATGAATGTAAAATAAAAGCTATACAAAGTAAATTTCATGAATGTGAATCATGACCTTCTGAACTACATACATATCATTTTCTATAATTATATACATTTCTATAAATAATCTTCCTTAAGTAGCTTTTTTTTTTATCACAGAACCCAAACATTTAAAGAATAAATCAATTTGACACAACTGACCCAGAGAGGCTCGAACCAGCAGCCTTCTTGCTATGAGGCAATTGTGCTACCCACTGCTCCACCACGCCACCCTTTATTAAATATTTACTTTCTGATAAGTCATCTCTGGTGATATAAGATATAATCACAACAGCAGAAGCATTTTTAATGTTTTAGCTATAAAACATCTTCTCCAGAACTTTAATGATTCCAAAACAGTGTGCTGATATCTGAACAACCTTAAATCTAACATCATGACTTGATTTGAACTCTCTAAGAACCACATCGCTTAAAAAAAAACATCACAAAAATAAAAAAAACATTTTTGATTCAAAAGCGTGTGTTAGTATAAACCTGTGCTGCACTGAAGCATTTGGAACGCTTTAGTTATAAAGTATGTGCAAAGGAGGAGAAATCATTACAGTGGAGGAGAGGTTAAAAGACTAATGAAAGCATGCTAGAAGGTGTCAGCAATCTCTCTCTCTCTCAGATCCGGACTCCATGGGGGCCGTGAGGAGTGAGAAATGAGCAAATATGAGTGTGGAGCTGAAATTGGAGCAAGTGGAAGAGAGAGAGAGAAAGAGAAAGAGAAAGAGAGAGAGAGAGAGAGAGAGAGAGAGAGAGAGAGAGAGAGAGAGAGAGAGAGAGAGAGAGAGAGAGAGAGAGAGAGAGAGAGAGAGAGAGAGAGAGAGAGCTGTTAATTTCATTATGAGAACACTGACTTGCTTTGGGGAGGGACGAATACTAGAACACATGGAGAAAGATGATATATTGATATTTTATATTAATATTTTAATATAGTTATATTCACAGTGTTCATCTGTATTTATTTTCTGTGTCATAAAATAGGCAAAAATGTAATCTAAAAAATGTATAGCTTGTTTTAATTAAATATAAATATTATGTAGTAATTTATTAAAATATATAAAAAAATTATTTATAATATGAAAATGATTACAATGAAACTATCAAAACCATTTAAATGTTATTTAATATTAATTTATTATTAATAATTATAATAATTATTCAATAATCATACAATATTTTTAAATATTTAAACCAATAAATGTTAAATTATTTGTAATAACATTTGTTGCATATCACATAGCGTATACCACATACTACTAACATTAATTGTAAAATAATAATAATAATAATAATAATAGAAAAAATATTATTATTATAAATACATAATGTTTAATAATTTAAAAATATAAATGTATTTATTAAATACAATGTGAAAGTAATATTTTGGTATTTTAACATTTTAGAAAGAACAATTATGATAAAAAAAAGTACATAAAATACTAAAATGTTCATTTATTTTTAATAAATATAGTAATTATCCAATAATTAAACAATTACTTTTTAATATTTAAACCAATAAATTATGAATGAATTATTTGTAATTAGCTTTTAGTTGCATATCATAGTGTACACCACATGCTAGTAATATTTTAATAATATTAATAACAATTGGAAAATAATAATACATGCATAATTCAAAAATATAAATGTGCTTATTAAATACAATTTAAATCTATTATTTTGGTATTTCAACATTTTAGAAGGAAGAAATTATATAAAAGGTACATAAAAAACTGCAGTAGCACTATACTTGAACTACAAAAATGTTATTTAATATTTATTTTTATATTAATAATTATAATAATTATTCAATAATTATACAATTATGTTTAATATTTAAACCAATAAATATTAAATTATTTGTACTCAGCTTTTAGTTGCATATAATTTAGCCTATACCACATGCTTCTAACATTTAAATAATAATAATAATAATAATAATAATAATAATAATAATAATAATAAATACATAATGTTTAATAATTTAAAAATATAAATTTACCTACTAAATACAATTTAAATCTAGTATTTTGGTATTTTAACATTTTAGAAGGAAAATTACATATACAATTAGATATACATAATTAGATATATAAAACTGCAGTAGCACTATACTTAAACTACTAAAATGTTATTTAATATTAATTTATTTCAAATAAGTATAATGATTATTCAATAATTATACAATGCTAGTAATATTTAAATATTAACAACAACAACAACAACAATAATAATAATAAAATATAAATTTACATATAAAATACAATTTAAATCTAATATTTTGGTATTTTAACATATTAGAAGAAAATAAAAATGATAAAAAAGGTACATAAAACTGCAGTAGGACTATACTTTCAGCAGCTTTTGCTAGTGAATTAATAAACACACAAGCTTGTCTGCACAAAAAGTACTGTAATGTTTGAAATGGGAATGGCGTCTGTATTACACGAGCTTTAATACAGCAGAAAGCCCCAGAGGACTGATGGAGGAATGTAATCCTGCCGAGCTCACAGCACACGCCGAGACGAAAAATAAAACACAGCCCCATGCTGAATGGAGACGCTCAAATACCGCTCGCTTCGCCAATTATTTGTTCCTGTCCTGTCGGGAGTCATGTAAATTACTTTAAGTGCACTTTTCCAAGGAAAGTACGCCCGCCATTACTGTAATGATGACAGCCGAGGGTTTACACACCCCTACCGAGTCTGGACACAGCAGACAAGACAACAAAAGCACTAAAAGAAGACGAGCTCGCTGCTGTCAGCTGTGCGTTGTTCTAGCAGCATTAAATTCGGCATTTAAAAGCATGCAAGCATCTGAAGATTCAGCATTGTGAGATGTTGCAGTTGCGCTACTCCACCACTAGAGGGCAAACAACCTCTGTGCCATCTGAGCAACTCCTTCTCTAGTAGTCATTGCTAGACTTTTAAGGTAATTCCATCGGGCTTTTTTTGGAGATTGTAGGTTTTAAGCAGATAAAAAGCATGGCTATTCATTTCTAACTGCACATGTGCATATGAAAAGTGAACTTACATGTTATGCAGGACACACCAGCCGCAGTGTGGATCTCCTGAACTCAGACACTCTCCGCATGTGCTATACTGCTCACAGGACTCGATCGGCACCCGGGTCACCTGAAGAGACAAACAACAATAGACTTAAGAATTTTCACTTAATTAAGTACTAATATTTGAAGTAACATATGACAGTTACTCATTTATCTTTTTAAGTTAAATAATCTGGAAGAAACCATCATTACAGTTTAAAAAGAGCGCTGTATTTTCTCAAGAGTTTTTTATTCATTCATGTGATGTCACACACTTAAAGGAATAGTTCAACCATATTTCTCGAGCACATTTAAGTTCAATCTCAGTTGGCCACAATTCTGTACACAGGGATGTAAATGAAAACAAAAACAGAGGGAAGACAATAAAAAGCAATATAAATAAATAAAAGCAAATAGCTTCACACATTATTTACATTGAAAGCACAATTGAAAATATGCATTTTTAGCCTTGATTTGAATTCAGCAAGCGAGGTAGTAAGTTGTGCAGAAACAAAAACATCCAAAATATTGTCAATATTCACACTTCCACCATTTGTTCTTAACCTGTTAGTGTTTCTGTTAAACACAAAAGAAGATATTTTGAAAAATGTTGGAAAACAGATTTACTTTCAAAGTATTTGTTTCTACTATGGATGTCGATGGCTGCTTCTTTCCAAAATACTTTAGGATATACTGGTTTGTATTCAACAGGAGAAATACATTCATAACACTTTAGTACACTTGAATGTGAGTAAATTATGAGAAAATGGTAATTTGTGGGTGAACTATCTCTTTAAGGCTTCGATATAACCATAGTATTTTCTTCCCGAAACATTGGTCTGAAAATAATTTACTAACTCTTTAATTAAACATGAAGCTGACAGATCCAAAGAGATGAATACAGCATACACTAACTTGTTTATTATTCAGTGGCAAGATGTTGCTAAACAGTCAAAAACAGTGGGTGGCGCAGTGAGTAGCACGATTGCTTCACAGCAAGAAGGTCGCTGGTTCGAGTCCTGGCTAGGTCAGTTGGCATTTCTGTGTGGAGTTTGCATGTTCTTCCCGTGTTTGCCTGGGTTTCCTCTGGGTTCTCCGATTTTCCCAACAGTCCAAAGACATGTGATGTAGGTGAATTGGGTAAGCTAAATTGGTCATAGTGTATGTATATCAATGAGTGTGTATGGATGTTTCCCAGTGAGGTTGTGACTGGAAAGGCATTCGCTGCATAAAACATATGCTGGATAAGTTGGCGGTGCATTCCGCTGTGGCAACCCCTGATTAATATAGGGACTAAGCTGAAAATAATATGAATGAATGAATGTATTTACTGACGGTCAAGATGATTGTTATTAGTTTCAGTGGTTGATATGTGGCAATACCATACCATAAAATGTTGTGATTGACCAATCAGAATCAAGTATTCCAGAGAGCTGTGTGACAAATAATAGCGTATTCATTGGTAAAATGTATACTGTGCATATGTGTGTGCGTGTGTAACAGAAACAGAAGAGAGGAAACAGGACACAAGCAGCTGTGCTACGGCCACTCCGAGGAACAGCATTGACACAGGGCTCTTTTGTGTCGCCCCACTGCACCTGTCCAGATAGGTATGAATACACACACACACACACACACACACACACACACAAGCACACCTACATAAACGTGAGTGTGTGTATATATATATATATATATATATATATATATATATATATATATATATATATATATATATATATATATATATATACACATACATACATACATACATACATACATATATGTTGTATATATAAAAGTGCATGTATATACATACATACTAAATACTAGCTCATCAAAAAATAAAACATGTAAATAAATAAACAATAATAATAAAAACTAAAATAATTAAATTAATTAATAATAAATAAATAATTTAATTACCTTATGTTCAATGTATATTATACATTTATATTATAAAAAAATATATTAAATATTATATACAATAATTAGGGATGCTCAAATCAGGATTTTTGCAACTGATATACCGATTCCTTGTCATGGTGATCAACCGATACCGAGTACCGATTCTGATGCTTCAAAACATGTAAATAAATAATAATGATAACAACAACAACAACAACAATAAAAAATAAAATAATATTATTATCTTTTATTAAAATTATATTATACATTTATATTATAAAAATATATTGAATCATATTATAATAAGTAGGGATGCTCCGATCAGGATTTTTGCAGCTGATACCGAGTACCGATTCCTTGTCATGGTGATCGGCCGATACCGAGTACTGATTCTAATGCATCAAGCTTTATAATGCATGAAGCACATTTTCCCCTAAGTATGATATTTAAGTGTAGATCTCTGTTTACCTAAAAGAATAAATAAAGAAGGTTGCATATAATACCTTAAACACCTCTCTTATAACAATTCAGATGTGAACATGTCATGGTCAGAAGCAGCTTAACAGAGCATAATATATAGCACAGACAAAAAAATTAAATGGTAAGAAAAATGACTGACAATGCAATTTGGAAACAACTTGTTTGAATCAAACACAAAACTAACACAGACACTTGCGTTTGGTTCATGAGGTCGGCCAGATCAGCTAGTACCGATTGAGTCATTAAATGTGATTATCGGCCGATACCGAGCTCCGGCCAAATGATTGGAGCATCCCTAATAATAACTAAACATTATTCATTCGCTATTTAATCATATTACATTACATAATAAAATATGATTACTGTATTATTATTTATTTATGTTTGAATTTATTTATTTAGTATTATTTTATTATTATTTTTATTATTATTATTATTAGTAGTAGTGGTGGTAGTAGCAGCCGTACCTGTAACATCTATTAACGTATTGAAAATTAATATTTACAAAGATAAATACTAAAGATGATTGTGTTAAGTCTGTCTCCAGAGTGAGACTTGACTCAGTAACATAATAAAAAGCATACATGTCACTCCTCAAAACTTAACAAGCAAGCAGTGTGTCTCTGGCAAACAGTCTGACCATATGTCACAGACACACGGACACACACACACACCTCAATAATCAAACACTGCTATACCTCAGAGATGAATGCTAAGCAGACAAACACAAATACACACAGACACACACATGCCCACTGCAACAGACTCCAGCCTGGCTCTGCCCACTGACCCACAATGCCCCTCTCCACTCCACTCGCACAGCCTTCTGCTGCCCACTTGGCATGCTGGGATAGCTCGGCTGATGACCGGGCCACAGCTCTGTGATTTGCGCCTGTGTTTGTAATATCTCTTTTATCTGTTTGTGTGTTTTCAGTGCCAGCGTGGAGCTTGTGATGTGCTCTCTCGTCACTGAGGGGATTTGTTTAGGGTGCACCTGCATCCTATTAACAAACACACACAGGCAAACCAGGAGAGTGTGAAGTCATTGAGGATTCTGGGACTGACAACACTCGTTTTCCGAAGTTTTGCCAAGCAATAATATCTGAATGAATGAATGAATGCTTATATGTGGTCAGGTGTGCTGTAGATGGATAACTAGAACAAACTAAATATATACTTTAAATACATATAACTTAATAACAATTAGTATTTTACCATTGCTAATGTGTTTTTTGTCTATTTATTATTATTTTTTGTTTAAAATTTAATTTATTTTATTTTAATTTTTTATTTATTATTGTGTTTATTTTTATGCCAAGAACAGATGCCATTATTTATATATATATATATATATATATATATATATATATATATATTTATTTATATATATATAAACCCACTTCAACAAACCCTAATTACACTGCCTAATATATTAACAGTAATGATAATAAAATAGTAAAGACACAATAAATAAAATAATAATAGAAGCAAATAGCTAAATTGTATAAAATAAAATACTATCAAATAAATAAATAAATAAATAAATAAATAAATAAATAAATAAATAAATAGACAACAACAATGGGTGATACAATAAGAGATAGTGTTGTGCTATTTCACAACGGTAGGCTAGCATAAACTAAGCATGAAGGTCTGGACAGAGAGAAAAGAGAAAAGGGGAAATTACAGTTACATACAAGATAAGTCACATTATTCCCTATGAAGTACATTTATAGTAGAGAAATAGGATAATAGAATAATATGTTTGGGTTGTCAAACATATGAGAATTAGATAGAACCTCTAATTGAATATAGAATTTTTTCAAGTGTACTGCAGATTAAACATCAGATCTTGAAGCCAATGTGATGCTTTAGGTGGATTTGAAGAGGTAATGTGTTTTAAAGGGCACCCATAAAGCAAAATTAACTTTTGGACAGAACTGTGTGTAGGTATAGTGTGTCCACTGACATATTGAAATGATATAAAAGCAACACATCTCTTTTTTAAATTAAGTGACCTTATAAAAGGATTGAAATCCCTGCAATTTTGAGGCTCATCTCAACATGACATAGTGTGGTTTCCGCACCCACCAAATTAGTTTTACAGAATAGTAATGAGTATAATCATATCAACAAGGCAGGACTTGCAAAAAAAATGGGAAAAGATCTGTTCCGACACTCTGTGATCAGCTGCAGCTCAAAAATTAGTTAAGAATTTTATAAGTTTAGAACTTTTTAAAACAGTGCATGTTTTTAATAAAGACAGTAAAAATCTTTACAGACAAATTCTGGAGACACCAAAGACTTGTTTTACGTTTGAAAAAGGGGGTAAAATAGGTGCCCTTTAAAGAGTTTTTGTTTTTTGAGCGGGGTCTCAATTTTCTAGCTTTTAATGTATTTATGAGGATTAATAATAATAATAATAATAATAATAATAATAATAATAATAATAATAATAATAATAATAATAGTAATGTATGTCCACATAAACCAATAAACATTGACCAAATGTGATTTTTATTATTATTATTTTTATTATTATTATTCATAAATACACTAAAAAAATCTACTTGTATGTGCACATAAACATTGGCCAAATCTGAAGCCATGTGATTAAATTTGCTTAAAGAAAATTTTGTTGAGGGGGCAGCACCAGCGTCCAAAGACAAGGGCAATAGGTGAATTAAATAAAACTAAATT